TATAATTATTATTATTAAGGGAAATACAGTTTGAGAAGGGAGGAAGAGTTGAAATTCACTGTAGTAGCAGTAAAGCAGAATCCACTGGAGTTGGGTGGCCAATACAATTAAATAAAAAACAAACTTCATTAAGAAGTAGAAGAATTCTTGAGTGTATGTACAGTACAGGTAGTCCCTGGGTTAAGAACACCCAGTTTATGGAAGACCATAGTTAAGAACAGAGCCTATTGTAGCAAAATTCAATTTAAATACACAATGGCTCTAGTTCATTACACAACAGTACTTATACAGTATTATACAATAATACTGTTCCAGCTTACATACAAATTCAACTTAAGGACAGACCTTGGGAACAGAACTTGTTCTTAAACTGGGGACTACCTGTATTGAGTAAAGCTAGAAATGTTATTTTATTTGGACAGACCTTGGGAACAGAACTTGTTCTTAAACTGGGGACTACCTGTATTGAGTAAAGCTAGAAATGTTATTTTATTTGGACAGACCTTGGGAACAGAACTTGTTCTTAAACTGGGGACTACCTGTATTGAGTAAAGCTAGAAATGTTATTTTATTTTCTTGGGTGATGTAGTAAAATCAGATCCTAATCAGTGAATAGGAGAAGATAGCAACACCTTATGGCAAAGAAGAATTGGGCTACTAAACCTGGACCTATGGGACTATTTAATTTTTTTTTAATGTTCATTGTATTCACACAATTAATGTAACTTGCGAGCAGCAAAGAGCTAGAGTTTGCTCCTATCTAGGGCTCACCAGGATTTTCACAGCCCATGTATGGCAGCTCTAAGGAAGGGGAAAAAACAAACAAACAAACAAACAAAAAAACAGAAGAAGGAATTAGTTTAAGAAAAGCAGACTAAAGACTAAAGGCAGTTTATATATTTCCATAAATAGATTAATAGCAGGTTTTGAAGCTGAGGCTATTATGTATAAGCTGTATGAAGCATAATTTTGTTCTTCTTCATCCAGTTCATAACTGATATCAAACACTGTTTTAGGACATGAATAGCTTCTTTAATAGCAACTTTTATGCTACTGTGGATAAGTCCTAGGCTTATTCTTTGAAAAAGGGAAAAACCTAATACTCCAGGTTTTTAAAGTCAGGCCTATCCATCCATCTTGGGAGATCTGCTCCCCAAGCTGTTAGTCAGAAGAATGACCAGAAACGGTAGTTCTGTTCTCTGACACCACCACCCTTTTGACAATTAAATATGCAACCACTCAATAAGTCTGGACTTCCAGCAAAACCCGTTACGGTCCTAAGATCATTGGTCCAGTTTAGATACAAATATCCTTGTATCTGTAAGGTGTGAATAAAATGGCATCATAGTAGTGCGCCTAAACCAGCTTTCCCCAGCCTGACATTCTCTAGATAAATTGTTGTAACAGTGTCTGGAACTTCCATCCCAAAAATATTGGTCAAAATAGGGTGTAGTTAATCTGATTACATGGAAGAGAAGGATAAAGGATACTTTTATGGGGATACAATGACTGTGTACCTCTTTTAAATTTTAAAAATAATGGAATATGGGGCAGATGAGGAAAGAAGTTGCCTTTAGTCCTACATTCTGAAGTTAACAGTAGCATCCGCTGAAGTTTCTGTCTGTAAGCTAATGGCACGTCAGCCCTTCGAGATAATCAAGGTCAAGAAACAGAAGCAGCAGAGATTCCAAGAATGCGCTTTATTGATGTAGAGTAGAAGAACAGAATCTAGAAAGCCCATCAAAGTTTCTCTCTATCCCATCTTATAGCAAACTAAATTAAGCCAGGGTTATTTCGAGTTTCTTTCTCATGCTTTCCACTTTCTCAGGACTGAATCATCTTTTTTTCTCACTTAATGGTTCATTGCTCCCTTCATCCTTCCCAAGGCTAAGTATGCACTCTTTCACACAGTAGCTTTCAGGAAGAGGAAGTTTTACACTGGGAACACAATGGAAAGAAGAATCCATCTCCTCTCTCAGTACATCTTGATCTCAGTCCAAATCTGTGGGCATGGGACTATTTAATTTTTTTTTAATGTTCATTGTATTCACACAATTAATGTAACTTGCAATAGGTTCAGTAGCTTTTCGAATCTGTTGATTGATGAAGGCACGCTGAACTAAACAGGAAAACTGAGGAGTGCATATTTTGTAAGTCATGAGAAATAGGTATGCTTATTTGCTTTGATATTGACATTGATTGATTGAATAATTGCTGGTTTAGCTTTATCATAAACTCCATTGGGAACCAATGAGAGGCAGGATGGAATATAAATGAATAACTGATAGGCCCCTGGTTTCCCTGAAGTTGATTTATTAACATGCTAATAGCAGGCATATATGATAGTGTACTTAACTAGTATTTGGAGAGTCCATGTTTCATTTAAAGATATTGAATTCAATTGATGAAAACATCTTTTCTCACAGAGATAAATATGGTGAATTATTCTGAACTAGTAAATGCTCTGGGACCTGTTGCAGTGTTTGTCAGAAAATGACCGTGAAGTGGATCTATATAGGCAGCTTTTAGAGAGTTTTTCTAGGACTCTAAAGAGAAAGATATAATTTTCTTTTAAATTGCAATCTTCAAAGTAATTCCTTACTTGTGTATAAGCTTTAAAGAGTAAATTGTTTGTTAACAGACAGGAAGCTTTGCTCACTAGTCAAAAGCACCCAGCATGCTAGCTCAGTCTCTGTAGAGATGAATTGCTTACAGTTTTGTTCTTTGTAGCAAACTGTGCATTGTACTATATTTGCTTAAAGATTATTTGTTTGTAAATCGATTAATTACATTAATATGTATTATGCCAAAACTATCAGCTTATTTAGCATGTTATAAAGTGCCTTGATTAAAAGTATTCATAATTAACACATGGAACCAGTACAGCCTCTGGTTTCACAAATGAAATGGTTCAGTATTGTTTTACTTTCTTAATTGGGCCTTTGCACCCAACAGTGGAATCAGTGTAAAATGTTTTCTATTTTCTAGATTCTCTCAAAATGCAGACCACCTTAATTCTCAGATTTCCCCCCTACAAATCTCTATAAATTAAATGTGTGCCAGTGAGTTGAAGAATATATATTGAGTTTTTTCATATCCTTAGTAACATCATTTGTGAAACTGAAGTTGGCTGTCCATACACGACAGGTATGTAATAAATAATACCTTTGTGATCTTTGTGAACATTAATTTATTTTCCTTTGGTTTTGAGGAAAACATTAATTTGAGAAAAAGTGCATCTCATGAGCTTATTCTCACATACCACTTCTTTTGCTTCTCCCAGACCAAGATGAGAGAGCCGCAGAACTTAGTAGAGAGCAAAATGAGAAAACTATACGCAGCACTCAGACAGCTCTCCGGAACTTCAGAGAGTTTCTCATCTCTAAGTATCCTTCGGAAACCAGGGAGATCTACATTATTCCTTGCAAAGAACTAGACGCTTACCTAGCATCATTTTTTGTTGATGCTAGGCAGAAGGATGGTTCAGAGTATGAGCCAAATAGTTTGGCCAACTACCAGTGTGGGCTGGAGCGATATCTCAAAGAGCATCGATATGGATACAGCATCACCCGAGACAAGGAATTCAAGAGGTCCCAAGAAGCACTGAAACAGAAGCAGATAGAACTGAGGTGCAAAGGAAAAGGCAACAAGCCACACAAATCAATGAAGCTGACCTTTGCAGATGAGCTTATTCTCCGCAAAAGAGGCCTGCTAAGCCGTTATAATCCCGAGGGGTTGCTAAACCTCGTCTGGCTCAATAATACAAAGGCCTTTGGCCATTGTACAGGTTTCCATGGGTCAACTCTCAAATGGGGGGACATTAGACTTCGGGTGACAGAGACTGGCTTAGAATACTTGGAATGGATGGGCCAAGATGGCAGCGATGGGAATGCCAAGACTAAGAGGACAGGCACAGATTCCAGAGTGTACGCAACTCAGCATGCGCCGCAGACCTGTCCTGTGCAAGATTACAAGGAATATGCACAAAGGCGTCCCCCTGCAATGCGGTACGAGGACGCCCCTTTCTACCTATCCATTAAGCCAGTTGTTAATCTAGCTGCATTACATTGGTACAATTGTCAGGCCCTGGGTAAGAACAAGCTAGCCAAGATGGTCAAGACTATGTGTGAAAAAGGGAATATTCCTGGGAGGAAGACCAACTTCAGTGTGTACCAGAGCTGCAGCACCCTCTCTGAAGCCCAGAGTAACCAGCTGGTGCTGATCTGCAACAACTTAAGCCAACAGGCTGCTCAGTCTGTAGCAAGCCATTCCGGTACTGGCAACTTCATAGTGTCTGCGTCGTATGACTCTTCTTCAGACACTGCTTGAAAGGACTCTCAGTGGGAACATGTGGGGCTTGAAACTTTAGTGTCCAACAACATGCATTGTCTGTGATTCCACAGTACCCTTCGGACTCACCTTTCTCCAGTGTCAAATCCCATTATCAAAACAATAATATATATGCATATATAAATATATATATTTTTTCTTTTTATGAATATGTGAATAGAAATAGTTTAGCATAATTTATATAGTATTTCTAATGCTGATAATGAAAAAAGAAGCATATTTATGGGGTGCTAATTTAATGGCTGATTATCAAAGTGGAAAATAATTTTCAGGCCATCCCTAATTTTAGCACTACCCTCATTTCAAACTGAAGTCAGTGTGAAATTTGATTAACTGTCACTTCTTCCCAAAGCAAGATGCAAATTATAATTTAAGACAATGTTGACAATTCTTTATTAAAAGCCCTAATACTTCCTCCCTATGACTGAATAGATATGGAGATGATTTAAAGTTGTGATGCTGATATATTTTGTGAAGTTCTTCTTTGAGGGCAACGTTTAATTAATAAAAATGGATCACTGGGCAGACTTCTGGAACCTCCACACCATTCAGCAATGCTTTCAGGCATTTGCTTTTATTGCCTCTGAACTAGTGCAGAAGGTGTTGGTCCCAGAGTGCACCATCTTAATTTTTAAAAGTAGAATTGTCCACAAATTCTCAAGCCTTTTAAAAACATGGCATGAATTTTGTATGTGTGAGAATGGAGGCAAGAATATTTTTCTACTTTTTTTAGTTTTTTTTGTAGCTTAGCTAGATTTTTTTATTTTTTATTTTTTGTGGTGATAAGGATATAGAGAAGGAAAAGAAAAAAAAGGGGGGGGCGTCCCTATTTATTGCAGTGTTTTCTGTTTACCATTTAGGTCCTTGAATCTCAGTTATGCCAGCTAGGAAAAAAAGAAATGCTAACAAAAATAGTAGTTGTTTAAAAATAAATGTAATATTGATTAATATGCAAAAAAAGTGTCATGGCAAAAAGGAAGACTCTTAATTTTGGAAGGCTTTTACGTTTATTGAGCTGATGACTTGTCTTTTAACACTTTCTGTCTAGTGGCTTCATTTCTGTGGGTTTTTAAAATGTTTTTGAACATTGGACTACATTTTAATTTGCTGTACTGAGTAGCCACAGTCCAGAAGAGGATTGCTTAATTGTACTGGATTGTGACCACTCCACAATGGTGGAGCTCCACGATTGGGATAGCTCCACAATTAAGTAGCAATAACTGCAAATCCATGCTTCATTTATACATTCTGTAATTGTGGACCAGATGGCAGGGTAGCCATGCAGGAGAATAGATACGTTATTGCAGATCAGTTGCACCTGCTGTTTTAAAGAAGTCTCAATGCTCCCCAGCTCAAGAGAAGGCAAAACCTTTGAAGATCCAACGTACTACCAGACCTGGACTACAAAAGTCCAGATTATTTCTAGAAGGCAGCAAAAAGAAAGAATAGAATTGGTGAATCTTTGGTGCAGAAGAGAAGAGATAGCCTTTCTAGCCTTTGCCTTTTTCAAAACAAGGGCTATACAAATAGTCCCACACTTTCATGCTTCCAAAGTGGGTCACTGTGAAAAATTTCTTGATAGAGACAGGAGAAAAGGATACACAGTACCTACTGATTTGCTTATCAGAACAGGGACCTGTAATATAATGATGTCACATAGAATTGTGGCAGTATTTTAAAGCCAGGGAGGAGGTGAAGCCCTTGTAGATTTCCCCCCACCCATCCACTTTAGGCACTAAAGTAACATGGACAGCTGTGGATATTAAACACTTGACTAGTGGGTTGCTGGGGAAATGATATTTGCTGTCCAGTTTATGTAACAAAATATGTTGGGCAGGTCCTGGGGACAAGTGAATGCCATCTGTCCACTCTTCACAGAGAATAATGTATTGTAGTTAAATTCAAAGTGTTGCTTTAGGATATAGAAACTGGGAGGATGTATCTTGTTCTGTCTATGAATCCTCTTTCATCATGATAAACAAATCTTATTTCAAATTACACATTCCTAATTTCTGCTAGCATTTATCTGACAAAAAATGAATCTTCCTGCAGTGGCTCCTTTCTTGCACTCTAACCATCCCTTTCCTCTCCCATAAAGTAATTACTTATTCACAGCAATTTATACTTGTCTTCAGCCAGAAAGGCATCTAAAGTGACTTACATATTATTAATTTTAGAAAAGCAGCATCCCCATTAAATTACATACATCAGACAAAAGGGGTGGGAATAAAAGAAAAGAAGCTAGCTTAGTTACCAATCTCTTAAAGTTAGCTGAAGAAGATAGAGCCATTCCAGCAGCTGTGCTACAAATCTGGCTCCGTTGGGTTTTTCTTCTCCCTGAATTGTTTTCATCCCTACTGACCATTGTAGTTTAATGGTCCTTTCTACTGACCATTGAATAACTAGCTGGAATGAAAAACATATGGAAGGAAGACAGAGCTGATGGAACTGGCCTGGAATGGTGCTAATAGAATGGCTCTTTAGACCATTTAGAAACCAATCGCTGAATGCCAGAATAAGAACCTCATGAGATTGGTAGTGTCATGATTTGAGGATGCTTTGCTTCCTCAGTACCTGAATGACTGGCCATCATTGAAGGAAGCATGAATTCTGCTTTCTGTCACAGACTTCTACAGAAGAATACAGTGGTACCTCGGGTCACGAACTTAATTCGTTTCGCGACTGAATCAATTT